ATGCCGAAAAAACGACACTAATTTTTGCAAACTTTGAAGAATTTTTAAAATTAAACGACTTGTCGTAGGGTCGTAATGTTTTTGTATGATCTATAAGACTATGGTATCTACCGTCAAAAAAAAATCATAAAAATTGTCGAAAAATTTTTTTTAACACTCTATTACAAGAAAACGGCCGATCTCTACCAAAAACTAATCAGCACGATTCTCAACCAATATCTTTCGAATAGTTTTTGAATTTTCAAAAACGATTCAGAATTGCGGGCTAAAACGTGGACGAAAAGTTTTTCACTTTTCTGCGATTTACAAAGAAACGGTCTGGCTGATCAAATGGCTTTTAAATTTTTGAAATCGGTCCAGCCGTTTTTGAGAAAACATCGATTAACGGCAGAAAATCTGTTCACACACACACACACACATACTTTTCCAAATTTAGTCTCATTCGATTCAGAATGGCTTAAAACGTCGAGAAAACATAAAATTAGCGAATCGAATTTTTTGATCAAAACAAACTTCTCCTTCGGGAAGTTAACAATAATAATAATGATAGTTAGTACTGCTCTAGGACAAGTCCGTGACCTGAGTACATTTCCAATTCGATTCAGGGAAGAATAATGTGAGAAGATTCCTATTGCCATTTCACATTGCAGTACCCGAAATAGGCTATTTTCACTTGAAATCTATGAATTCAAGTGAAAATTGATGTCACTACTGCATGATATCAGTCTATCCAAAACGAACGTCGAACTCACGATTCACTACCCTCTCCACACAAAACTGTGCGCTAACACTAACACCTATTATTATTATGCCTTTGCAAAAAGCTGGAACTTCTCATGCCGTTTTTTAAAAACTTACAAATTTTTTTTATAAAATTCGACATTTTTGAAAATTTTGAATAGGTTTTTATATTTACCTTCCCGTATGGCAAGTTATTGTAATCGTCCAAATATAAAAATTATTGTTTTGCATATCTTAACGTTTTGAAGGTTTCTGAACATTTTGGAATACCTTAGAAAAAATGGATGTGTGTATGTGTGGATACAATTTTTCGTCCAGATTTTTGGGCGCACGGTTCAGCCGATTTGAATGGTTAAAAAAACATTTGATTTCTATTGATAGGGAGATGTGCTGATTAGTTTTTGGCAAAGGCAGGTCTAGCCGTTACGGAGATACGAAGCAAAGAGTGCAGAGAATAGAAATCGAGTTTTTGAGAGAACGAAGTATTCGATTTGAATGTTCTAAATAACATTCAATTCGTAATGATGAGGAGAAGTGATAGTTTTTGGCAAAGGTAGGTCCAGCCAGATATGGAGCTAAAAATACAAAAATGGGAGTTTTTGAGAGAACTAAGCATCGGATTTGAATGATTCAAAAAACAACTGCTATTGGATTTTTTCTTATTTCAAAATTTAAGATTTTTTTCACAATTTTTTTTTGTTTGTATATCGAAAATAATTCAGATTTTAATTTTAATTCTGGTTAAAGTTCTAAAGCTCGCTTATATACTTTAAATAAGTAATCTTAACTTTGCATTTCACTTTATATAATTCTTACAAATATTAGACAATGTTACAGTATTTATAATAATCTATTTGAAAACATTTAATATTCCTCGAACATTTCATTACGGTACGGGAAGTTCCAGCAATTTGCCTTAAGGCCATACACCAGTAGTTTTTTTTGTAGGGAATTTGAATAAAACCTTATATGGCAATAAGGATCATAGTCTTAAAATATTAGAGGCATATGGCAAGTGTTTTAATTGATATCTCACGAAGACTTAAGAAACTAGATGTAAGTGGTATTTTGCCTTAAGGCAAGTAGCAAGAACTTCTTGACATATGTAAATAAACAACTTAATGATTAAGTCGCTTATTTACACATGTCCAGAAGTTCATGTAATTTGCATTAAGGCAAAATACCACTTACACCTGTTTTATTTTTTTAATGGTTCGGAACCTTTTAAAAGTGATGACGAATGCCAAATTATACAAGTTTGTTTTGGAAAAACCACGTAATCGTTTCGGAATATATGGAGAGGCATTCGTTTGAATCATCTTTTGTTTTATCGCCATATCTTATCAAACGTAACATGATTTTTATTTTTATTTTCTAAACAACTCGGAAAACAAATGGAATTAATCATTTCGATGAGATTTGTGTAAATTTCAATGTATGACAATATTGCACATCACTATTGCACTATTTCATATTAGTTGTCATCAGGCAACACCTTTCAACCTTACATATTAAAATAATTTTTTTTCCAAAAGCAATTTGTCAACACAAGCAGAAAGTTTTATTTAGCCATTCAAATCCGATGCTAATTCCTCTCAAAAACTACCATTTTTGCACATTTAGCTCGGTATCTTCGAAATGGCTGGTCCTGCCTTTGCCAAAAACTAATCACCACTTCCCCTCATCATTGGGAATTGAATGTTTTTGGATCATTCACATGGGATGCTCCGTACTCTCAAAAACTCCAAGCAATCGATTTCTATTTTCTGCACTCTTTGCTCCGTATCTCCGTAATAAATAATAAAGGATGGACCTACCTTTGCCAAAAACTAATCAGCACATCTCCCTATCAATAGGAATTAAATATTTTTTGAATTATTCAAATCGGTTGATTGGTGCGCCCGAAATCGTGGACGAAAAATTGTATCCATGCATACACACACAACCATTTTTTCTGAAGTATGCTAAAATGTTGAGAAACCTATGAAACGTAAAGATATGCAAAAATTTACATTTTCGATTTTTGGTCCATTACTATAACTTACCCTACTGGAAGTTAACTAGAAGTAAGTGACATTTTTCCTTAATGCAATTTGCAAGAACTTGTGGACATGTGTAAATAAACGACTTAATGAGATATCACTTGTCGTAGGCCTCTAATATTTTAAGACTAAGATCTCTATTCTCATACAAAGTTTCATTAAATCTGCCAAAAATAATAATAAATTACGAAGAAACGGCCGAACTTTGCAAAAAACTAATCAGCACGACTCCCAAATGAATCTTTCGAATAATGTTTAAATTTTCAAAATCAGTTTTAAAAAGTTTGCACATTTCTGCGCAAATATATACACACACACACGAAGTTTGTCCAAATTTGGTTTCAAGCGATTCAAAATGACTTTAAATGTCGAAAAATCTTAAAATTAGCAAATTGCATTTTTTGGTGAAAACAAAAACTTTCTTTCTATAGAAATAAAGTCCATAGTATTGTCTGATGACACAATATAAATATATAACATCAATTATCTTATCTTTCGAACAAACAATAGAAGATTAATAATTTCGCGAAACAAAGCGGAAAAAAATTGTAAAACAAAAATTCTTAACATTCTTTCGACTGTGAGTAATATCATAAGATCTTTACAATTTTATCTTATCTGTAATAAATATTATTGATTCATTCATAGATTGATTTTCAAGTAGCGGATTTAAAGTCAAGTGATCATTGAAGAGATTTTGAGGTTATATCTGGCGCCGGGGAATTTATTATCATTATCAACTTCCCGTGGGGTAAGTTATAGTAATGGTCAAAAAATCAAAAATGAAAATTTTTGCATATATTCACGCTTCAAAGGTTTCTGAACATTTTGACATACCTTATAAAAAATGGATGTGTGTGTATTTTGTGTGGATACAATTTTTCGTCAAAGATTTCGTTCAGCGATATAAACCGATTTAAATGATTAAAAAAACATTAGATTTCTATTGATGAAGAGACGTGCTGATTAGTTTTTAGCAAAGGCAAGTCCAGCCGTTATGGAGAAACGGAGCATAGAATGCAGTAAATAGAAATTTTGTTTTTGATATAATGGAGTATCCAATTTGAATGATCAGAAAACCATTCGATTTGTGATGATTGGGAAAACTGGTGATTAGTTTTAGTAAAGGCGGGTCCAGCAATTTTGAAGATACCGAGCTAAATGTGCAAAAAATTGTCTGATGTGCTGATTAATTTTCGGCAAAGGCAGGTCCAGCCGTTACGAAGATACGGAGCAAAGAGTCCAGAAAATAAAAATCGAGTTTTTCAGAGAACGGAGTTTAAATGATCCAAAAAACATTCAATTCGTAATGATGGGGAGAAGTGGTGACTAGTTTTTGGAAAAGACAGGTTTAGCCGTTTCGAAAATACGGAGCTAAATGTACAAAAATTTCAGTTTTTGAGAGAACTAAGCGTCCGATTTGAATTATTCAAAAAACTTTCTGTTCGTGTTGGCAAAATAATTCATATTTTAATTTTAATTTTTGCTAAAGTTTTAAAGCTCACTTATGTACTTTAAATAAATAATTTTAACTTTGCAATTCAGTTTATATAATTCTTATAAATATTAAACAATGTTACAATATTAATAATAATCTATTTGAAAACATTTAATATTCCTCGAATATTTCGTTACGGTTCGGGAAGTTCCAGCAATTTGCCTAAAGGCACGATGTCATAGACCACCTGTTTCAATTGAAAATAGACATCGCGCTGCCCGATGTCAGATTGCCAGAGAATCGAACGCGCGACCCCATCCACATGTGACCACGCGTTAACGATCTTCGCCACGACAATCCTTATATTATAGAATTAATTATCTAATATACCGCTTATAATTTATTTAGATAATTTTATTACTATTTTTTTTTTCAGGACAGTTAAGGTCAATACTATCTACTCGTTTCGGCTTGACACCAAGGTCTGTAAAATGCATCTAGAAATCTCAAATTTACCTAGATCACCAGGAATAAGTTTTGTTTTAAGATTTAACGAGCATCAGACAAAAATTTAAATTTGTTTAAATAATATTTATATAATATTTATAAAATTTGTTCATAGAATCCATATTTTATGGATTTTACTACTACAAGTAATAATAAAATACATTATATATTATAATAGATAATTATCATATTTATAGATAATTGTCTATATCTATAGATAGTTGTTATATAAAATTTAATGTAATCACAGTCTTATCATTATTTATTACTCATCAACTCACTAAAAAATGCTGACCACCCTCCACATCCTTCGCAACCTTTTTACTCTTCTTCGGAGCCCCTTTACTTTCTTTCTTTTTACTATGTTGTAATAAATGTCTCTGTTTATTAATGGCTTGTACAAAAGTCTTATCGCATAGCTCACATTTGTAAGGCCTTTCACCTGTATGCAGCCTCGTATGTTTTTGAAGTACATGCTTCGTTTTGAACTTCTTTTCGCAATACTCACATGAAAAACGTTTTAAAAGTTCTTTGTCGTCTTGTTGTTTGTGAGTTTCAAAATGTATTTTCAAACTTGTCGATTGGGTGAATGATTTTTCACAGAGAATGCATTTGAATGGGCGCTCTCCGGTGTGGCTCCTCATATGAACCTAAAAAAGGAAAAAGGTAAAAGTAGTGGATATCCACCCATTTGTAATAATTATGAATAATATTATAAATGTAACGGTCAGAATACAAACAACGCAGTTTAGAATTACTCATGCTACAACTTGGTATGCTTGCAGTAACCTTGCAAGCATTGATAAAATTCCTTTTTAACTACCCCTTAACAACTAGGTAAAGGGTAGAATTGCACTATGCAGTGACATTGAACAAGGATTGCAATCACATTGAAGAAAGCACATAAATACCAAGCGATGACACAATATGAGTTCATTCATCATTTAGTTTTCATAAAGTACAGATCAATATTATCTCAGTAGTATTTAAGTTAATGCCCAAAAAACATTTATAAGTGGCATGCGTTACAGTGGGTAAGCCATCACTTTGATTTGTGTTAGGTGTTCATTTCATTTATATACACACACTTTTACACTCATAATCAGTTTGTAATTTTTTATACTAGAAATTTTATACTAATTTTTCTAGAAATAATTTTTATGGCTAAACCTTTACCGAGCTAGCTAGTATATATATTCTTATATATAAAATTCTTCTGTAATGATGTATGTAAATATACTCCTCCTAAACGATTATTCAGATTTTGATAAATCTTTCTGAAATTCAGGATGTATGTGATTATAAAAATATAGTAATATTGTAGAAATAAATGGAAAAAATTACAAAAAAACCACATGTAATTTTTTTGGCTTTGAAAATATTTGTGACATTGTTTGGCATTGAAAACAAATGAAAACTGCCAAAAATTTTAATTTACCTATGAGGCTAGACAATATTAGAATATGTATGATAAATTCATGATTATTAATAAGAAAAATTAAATGTCTACATTATTATTGCCAAAAAGCAGCTGAGATGCGCCAGAAATTAAAATAATAAATGATACAGTATATGTACGGCAGATTGAATGATACACATAGGAACAGTGTCTGTCGAGTCATCTAGTATACACATATATATTTCTAGATAATTCTTAGGATATAAAATAACTGATTGTAACTGTGAAAGTATGTGTTATATGAATAAAAGGGGCACGTACTACAAATTATATGGATGGTTTATCCACTGCAAAACATGCCACATATAAATGTTCCCCGGTGCATATTAATAAGTATATATATAAGGTATGTATTTTATTTATATATATGTTTATGTATTAAAGTACATGGTATATAAATAAAAGGGGCACCTAATACAAATTGTATGAAAGGTTTCCCCACTGCAAAGCATGCCACATATGAATGTTTCTAGGGCCTATTAATAAGTATATATATATGGTATGTATTTTATTGCTTACCGTTAAATAGCTGGACGTCGAAAAACATCTATCACAACTACTGCATTTATAAGGCTTCTCCCCTGTATGAGTCCGAGTATGCACCAACAACGTATTCGGCAAAGCAAACCTCTTATGACACACCTCACACTCAAAAGGATTTTCACCTTTATGCGAAATCATATGCTTTGCAAACTCCAATTCACTTTTTAATGTCGTGGAACAATATTGACACTGGTGAACTTCTTTCTCTTTATGAACCCTCATATGCATAGCGAGACTTCTTTTCCCTGAAAAGTCTTTTTTGCAAACATCGCAATGAAAGGCTTTGTCTGTTACATGATGTTTGTTCATGTGTCGGGATAGATAAGCTAGGAAAGCGAACTTTTGGTTGCACATGGGGCATTCAAAATTTTTATCGGAGGGGTCTTCTAGTTGGTCTGGGTCTAGGTCTTTGCAGTCGGCGATGTGATTTTCATAAGAATTGAGAGAGGATGTGCTGAAGTCGCATTTTTCACAAGAATATTCTTCGACATCGTAATGTTCGTCTGTGACATCATCTAAGGATAAAGGATCTACTTCTGATGATTGATCACTAAGGGATTCTGACATTTTCTATGTAGAATGTAACCTAGAATAAAACTTATGGCGATTTTGTAAACCAAAATGCAGTTTAATATTCCTAATTCAATTTGCCTAGTAACAAAAGAATACCATTATAATATTTAAGTAATAACGTGATTTATTGATGATTTAAAAATTAATTTTAATTATGACTTTGACAGTTCTATGTTGATCAACAATGGCGGACTTAGTATTTTGAAATTTGCACTAAATGAATGCAATTTAATTAAATAATAAGACAGTAATTGTATAAATCAATCATCAATATTTTGTTAATTAATCTTTAGAAATACTTTGTTTGTTTGTTTTGATTAATTGAAAAAAAAATACTGTTGACGTTGACTGTTTATATTTTATCTAAGAACTGTCAAATATGGCGGACTTGAAATTGCGCGAAAATTTGAATTTAAATTTTGCATATTTATAATGTTCACAAAAATTATGTTAAAGATAAATAAATATGTAAATGTAATTTAACACAATAATAATGTAACAATTATATGAATTATTTTTTTATTATTTTTAGTTAATTAAAATATTAAAACAATTTATTTTTGCTTGGTTCAAAGCTGTCAAATATGAAGATGCGCGCAAAAATTTGAATCTAAATTTCATAGATTTATTTAAATGTTTAATTTCACATTTATTTTGTTATTATCATATAAACCAATTAATCACAATTAATCTTCAAAAACAACTTATTAATTATATATAATATTATTATACTATATTAATTATTATTATATTATTATCAAACTGTCAAACATGGCGGACTTGCACACGAAAATTAGGAGGCATTAAATCAAGCTAAGACTTTGACACTTGCGCACAATTCAGCCAGCATGAAGTTGCCGGCGAAGACAGATATCAAGCTGTCAAGCATTTCAGATGTCAAGAGCGCGTCGACCATTTTGTTCATTTTTATAACAGCGTTACGTCGGTGCATTGTTTTTTTTATCAAATAAGCTTGTTTCATATTTGATATTAATATTTTTTAGCTTTACGTTATGATTCATTTTTTTTGTTATGTTCGTTCAAGTTTATTCGCTTTGGCTTTTTGATTACGCGCCTATTTAGTTCTTATTTTTATTTTTACATTTTAGGGTTATGTTTTAGGATTCTTTTCATTCAAAGATCATTTTAGTCTAGCTTTTTGATTACGCGCCTATTTAGTTCTTATTTTAATTTTTACATTTTAGGGTTATGTTTTAGGATTCTTTTCATTCAAAGATCATTTTAGTCTAGATTTTATACAATGTTTTAGTTATAATTTTGTTTTAAAAAATAATTTAGGCTTACGTTTTACGCATAGGGTTATATTTTATTCATTATTTTTGTTAGGTTTAGTTTGGTTACGATCTTAACCTTAATTCAGTGGAAGCTAACTAAAACTCAACAAACAACAAATAGAAGGTTCAGTAAATGAAATAAAATTGAAACACTTTTGATGTTATAATACTATATCAAAATACTTCATACTGTCTTGGAATGGACAGATATATTTCGTTTTTTCTGCTATATTTGCTATGATGGAACAATATATATTGTATTTTAACGTAATATATTGTCTAAGGTAAATGCTATCATCTTGCTATTAGACAATATAATAATCATAATAATAATAATACTTGTTTGTCTGTGATAATAATGATCTTGACAGGTTTTACCTGTCAAAGTTATGAATCCAATACATTTCAACTTGACAGCTAACTTCTATTTCGTCGCCAACTTCATGCTGGCTGAAATGTGCAAATGTCAAAATTCTTAGCCTGATTTAAGGTGGTGTCACGAAAATTATATATTCTTATAATGTTCAAATATTTTGTTAAATATAAATAAATATATAAATGTGATTGAATACAATAATAATGCAATAATTATATAAATCAATTTTTTATAAAACTAATATTTTTTTAGTATAGAATATTAACTTAAATATGAAGTTGCGCTCGAAAATTTGAATTTAAACTTCATATATTAATTTAAATGTTTAATTTCACACTTATTTTGTTATTATCACGGTGATATACAAAAATTATTATCAAGCTTATAATTTTTAATATTTTCCTTACGGCTTCATAATTGGTGGAAAAATACTTTTCTGTTTTGTAGGAAGATAATGTCCTAATAATCGCTTAAGCTCAGCATTTTGTTTCTTCAATTGTGATACTTCAGAGTCCAAAATTGAACGATCTGTGACAAAAAAGTTGATAAATTTTCAATTTTTTTGTGTATGTATATATGTATGTATGTGTATATATATATATATATATATATATATATATATTATATATAAATATACAAGTTATAAATTAGCATACTATATTATAAAACTGTATAAAGCCGATTGGTGTATAAATAAATAAATAAATAAATAAAATAAAAATAAATTTGAAAAATTTCCCATATTTAATTAGTCCTCAGGGACTAACATAACTGATCAGTTACCTTTTAGTATAGCATGATATTTCTTCAACCCGATAAGCAAAGAATCCCATAACTTCTCCTTCTGAGGTCCAAAAACCTCACGAAAACGTTTCCAGTACATAGTAACATCCTCCTCTGACATCAACCTCGACATGGTAACTCTATCTCTAGCCAATCTCTCACTCATTGTAACAATATCTCTAAAAAATTAGATAAAAGTTAAGCGCCTTCAATATATAATTAAAAGATCTACCCACCACTACCCACTTACCCAACTTTGCTATTGAAATACTTAGTAGCAAAATCTCTCAAAGCTCTCACAGCATAAATAGATTCAACCTCGAGAGGATGAGCAGGATTTGTGCATCTATACATGTGCATTTTGCTGATACCATCAGAGTCTTCAGAATATTTAGAGGAGTCGCAAACAGATACTGCAGGTGTTAAAATTGTAGCATGGGCTTTCTGGACTTCTCCAGTGAATGTTCCAACTTTTTCTACTATTTCACAAACCTGGAGGAAAAATGAAATATAAAAAACATAATAGCTGTATATAATTTTATTATTATTATTATGTTTACCCACCTCGTGTTGATAATTTTGATCATCTTCTGTTGATTCACTGCTGGTGCTTTCCAATTCCAAACTCAAGTAATCATGACTTAAAGTTGGTGTACGTTTTAGGTCTACACTCTCATCAGGCACTGACTCTTCTAATTGTGATTGTTCTAAATAAAAAAAAAGTGTATGTAAAAAATGGACATTGGTTGCAGAATTCAAAGATTTGAAAAAAGCCTTGGAGTACCCCAAAGAACAGTTCGACGGCCTCTATTATATATAAACAATTCATTATAAATATAATACAAGTAATCTTATCACAATGAGAGGTAAGAATAAAAATGGTGTAAGTAGCAAAAAAAATTACAAATGTGGAGTTCCCCAAAAAACAGTTCGAGGGTCTCTATTATACATAAACAATTTATTATAAATATAATGCAAGTATTCTTACCACAATGAGAGAAAAAAATAAAAATGGTTTAATAGCAAAAAAATTTCAAACTTGGAGTACCCCAAGGAACAGTTCGAGGGCCTCTATTATATTTATATATAATTTGTTATTAAATTAACAACTATATTAAAATCAAAGAGTTTTCTTAGACATTATCGAGATATTTCATTTTTAATGAAAAAAGTACCTTCAAGTCTAAAAACCTATTTTAAAGCACTTTTTTTAAAGTGTCAAGTGAGTAAAGTTTTAAAAATAAATTGATGTATTTGTTTAAGAATGGTGTAATATAAATATGCGTACTTTAATTGGTCTACTATGATGGCAAATACTTAAATTGATAAGTTTTCTTTAAAAATTTTAAGATATTTACGTTTTTATAAAAAAAAGTACCTCGAAGTCTAAGAAAGTATTTTGATGTGATACAATCAATAAGTACAATATTAAATATTTATAATAATTTGTTTGTTTCAAAATATTATAATATTTGTATATGTTATACTCATGTCTACTATGATAAAAATACTAAAACTGACAAGTTTTTTTATAAAATTTTTAAGATAATTGTATTCTTTTATGATAAAAGTGCTTTAAGCCAGGAATTCTCTTAACATATTTGCTGACAAGCTTTTATCGTAAGGTGAGCGTGTACAAATAAATTATTATTATTTATTTATTTTATTTATGGTATTGGAATGTAAACAATAAACATACATGTATTGTATCCAATTAGGATAATTCCATTTTCCATTTAATTCGTTTAAACGTAAATGCTTCGATTTTGTTTATTACGTAGCAGACGAAACATGGTATCGTAAATTTAACATACAAAATGAAGGACACGAAACGGCTGTTGAACAAAAATGTCAAAATGTCCACAAGTTAACTCTTATATAAATTACTCCTTCGGGAATTAAAAAAGTAAAAATAAACTTTACTCAAATTCTATTTTACATCTTGGAATAAATGCATCTGCATGAACTTACTTGGTACATTATTTAAATCTTGAGTTTGCACCTCCTTTTCCTTTTCCTGCTCCTCAGTCGCTTTTTGTTCCACCATTTGTGAACAAATTGGACAGTGGACATATGGCATAAAAAACTCTCGAAGTGATAGAATGTCTTCTTCGCTGTTTATACTCAAAGCCTAAAAATGTAAGAAACATTACATCCTATTAATTTATACTCTTCTAAATAGGTAATATAATTATAATTTATATATATATATATATATATATATATATACATATATTAAATTATAAATAGCCATATAATTATAATTTATATTTACATTAAAAACATTGTCCAAAGCAATGAGTGTTGTATCCTGTTTAGCATACGGTTTCAAAATGTCCACTAATCTTTTCTCGATTAAAAATCCTGTATTATCTGCAATTTTTTGTAGTATGTGCCTCAGAAGTCTCACCATTTGTACTTGCTCGGCTGCAGAGTCTTTGATACCTAAGGAAATAGAAAATATATAGAAATAATTAAAGATTTACAAGTTTAAATAAAAATACTGACTGCAAATAATGGTAAATAAAAAAGTTTGTCAA